CCCTCGCTGTACGTGAAAAACAAACCGGGCCTCTGTTGAAGCCAGTCATTTCTGCTGAGCTAAGGCCGCGTTTACTCCATCTTATTGCCTTTGGTGCGGGTAACAGGCTGCTCTCCCCAAAGCTGCGGGAGGAACACTTTTATTCTTCCTTGTTTCCTACTCACCCCTAGCTAAATTCATAGCATAATCCGGCAGGGCAGAACCACACATGCCATATACTCCCAAATCCCAATGTGGGTTTTTGTTTACCAGTTGCTTTCTACAGTGGTCAAATCATGGTATACAGTGGCATCCTGTTAAGACAGGCCTTGGCAGATTTTTGCTTTCAGACTATGGTCTCCACTTATGATGAGAGATACCGAGAGGTGAATACACAATATACTCATTGACTTTGTGCCTGTGGTGCTCCAAAGGCTGAAAATCATTGATGGGTGCCTTATCTATAAACTGTATTCTAGCCTAGAATTCTAGAAATCTGGTAACAGGATTTCTTCACCCTTTAAGGAACAAAGTTGTTATCAGGTAGCACTGTACTGCCTATGTACTGTACTGTACCATTACTCATCTTGGTTGGTTAGAAATCGCGGAGGGAAAAAAACCTTGTATTTAATCTGTAACTCATTCTGTAGATTGGATTCTTGTATTTTCTGTTTCATATAAAAAAAGTTAGGGTTACATACAAATAAAATCTGATGGATTGGATAAGCAGTTATTTCTAGAAAGGTGAATTATTCTTGCTGTATAATGTTAGCAGTACATTCGGCAACACGTAACTCTCTACCTTAGGTTATAATGTAATGATTTGCTTATCTTTCTGTAATTCCCAAAATCAGATACAATATAATGGGTGCTGAGACTTTTTTTTTTTTGAGACATATCCCTTGTGTTTACTTGTGCAAACTACAGGTCCCTTTTGATAAAGGCCAATGTAGCTCAGGGTTGAAATGAAGGGGTCCTTGGTGTTCTCTGAGCTTTGGTTGTTTTGGTTGCAGAGGTTTCATTTCCCAAACTAGGTAACATTATCAGTGCAAGTAGGGAATGGGGTTTGCTCTCAATTTATAGAGGTCCCTTTCAACAAACTAGTAGCTCCCTCTCATTTTTCAGTTGTCCAGTTTGATTGTTTTTGTTAACACAGATGCATTCTGTAGATTGAAGGATTAGAGAACACAAACACATTACATTAAACATGTACATTCTGTTACATAGCCATAAGTTTAGGATCAGACATTATTTTCAAGCCATGCCATGACTTTTCTTTCCCAAATACATCCTCCACAGCAGCATAAGCAGGCAGGCCTGAAGAGGTCTCTTTGTTCCTGTCATATATACATTTGTAAAAAGTTTGAAAAACCAAAAATATTCTGGAGCACATTACAAACAAAACCCGTAGAATACTTATTTTAGCACAAAGGTAGTTAACAGCTTGTCAAGGAAGTCCTAGAGGTTGTAACCAAAATTGTAAAAGATGTTTTCATAAACAAATGTGTAACAAATCATGCAAGGCATTACTCCCCCACCCAAGTTATAAAATGGACATGTTACATTTCTACTGCACAAGACATTTTGAGACAGTAAAAGAAGATCCTTCAATTGCATATGTTGACACTTTATTAAAACCGATCACTTTTTATTCTTACATCTGGAATAAAAATTCAATAGGCTGCGCATTTATCCATTTCGTAAAGCTTCCTGAAAAATACGACATTGTAGTAGGTAAAATGGATTACTGTTAATAAGCTCAATATAAATGACTTAGTCTGGAAAAACTAATCTGTTTTAAACTGGAGATTGTGAACTTGACCTTAAGTCTTTGTGATTTACTACTGAAGTAGTTTCCTCTTAATTCAGAAGTAGGGAATCTCAGATGTTGCCAATTCATCTGGCCTGAAACATTTGGAAGTTGTAGTTCAACATCTAAAGGTTTCAAATTTCATCTGCCATATCACACAATTATTAGATTAGGCCTTAATATAATTCTTTCCTTGTTTTTTCTTGTTTGTGGTTTTAAGATTAGTCATAATACCAGTTAGTTTAGACTTTAGAGAAAGATGAAAATAACCTAGGCTGGAATCACTGGCCTAGTCAGTCCTCAGTTTACAAGGAAACTTGTAAACTGAGGACTGACTAGATCAGTGTTTCTCAGCCTTAGGAGCTTTAAGATGTGGACTTCAACTCCCAGAATTCCCCAACCAATACATTTTGAAGTTGCTGAGATTAAAAAACAAATACTGGACTAGACTATTAGAAACTGAATATGAACAATGTAGCAGGAGGAATCAATTAGAGGAGAAAGGAATTTTGGTTCACCTCTCATAAGCATGAACAATTGACTATATTTATGTACTTATATATGAGGTTTTATACAGAATCTGATACAGATAGTCCATGACTTACAGTATAACAATTCATTTAGTGACTGTTCAAAGTTACAATGGCACTGAAAAAAGTGACCATTTTTCACCATTGCGATTGTTGCAACATCCCCATGGTCACGTGATCAAAATGCAGATGCTTGACAACTGGTTCATATTTATGACGGTTGCAGTGTCCCAAGGTCATGTGATCACTTTTTGCAACCTGAAAAGCAAAGTCAATGGGAAGGACAGATTCACTTAGCAAGCATTTTACTAACTTAACTACAGTGATTCACTTAACTGTGGCAAAAAAGTAGTAAAATGGGACAAAATTCACTTAACAAATGTCTTGCTTAGCAACAGAAATTTTGGGCTCAATTGTGGTTGTAAGTTGAGGACAACCTGTACTTGATCCTTTTTGTTTAGTATTGTCTCGTAATGGTTCTGCATGTCTCCAGCTCTGGTAATGATGGGGACTGGCTCTTGGTGATACTGTGTGCAAAACTTGTATTTCACCTACCAAGAAACTAAAGTCTTTCCCAAATATTTAATATGTGAGTGCTATTTAGTTAAAAAAAGGGAAAAGCCTCTGGAATTGATCTGGATTCCTAGTAATTTCATAGATATGGCTATACCTCCCTTACCCAAGTACAAACCAGGTCTGACTCTGCTTTGCCTCATCTATCAGTCTAAACAAAGTCAGCATAGTGCTGGATATTTACAGTCCAATCGGGAAAAAGTTATTGCACACTGGTTTTAAATTCCCTGTATGCAACAGACTGAATTGCAGATGACAGACTCTTTCCTTCAATGGCTTTAGTTAAGCACACAGCAAGACATTAGCTGTAGGATAAGGCTGTTGCAACACAGCCATTGCCTTCTTCCTTCTTCCTGGGAGGTCCATGATTCTGTTCAAGGTTAGAAATAAGAAACTAAACACTATATCTTAGCCCAAATTGATCATGCCATACTGATTCTGAATAGCAGGTTTGTTTGTTTTTTTAATATGGAAAGTCCTAGTCTCACTGTAGTAGAGGTAAGAGTATTTGCTGTATTTAAACAGTAGCCGATTGTCACTTTCTCTTATCAAGTCAACAACATTACAAAGTTGTTCTAAATAACTTTTTTTGATTAGGAATAAAATGATATAGGGCCACAGAATAAAGCATTCATACCTGCATACATGTTCCATGCATGCTTACATGTCAATACATTTATGGTTTATTTTGATATTAATATAACAATTATAAATAGGTGAAACATGTGGGTCATTGGTTTATTACAAAAGGGGCAACATAAGAAAAGTTCATTTTAATAACATTCACAGTTAAATGCCTAATATAAGGGTCAGTGTGTACTTGCAAGCACTAACATGATAACACTTATTTCCATGTACCTCTTCCAATGTTGCATTAACTAGTCTGCCAAATGTTTAAAAAAGTATACTAATAAATAAATGTTATTTAGAAATACAAAGGATGATACACACTTATCTGTTCTATATACAAAATACGATCTCAATTTTTGTTACATTTCAGATTGGATCATAGTATTCAGCATCCCTCTTCAACTGCAGTTTTAACACAAGACATGTTGATTCAAAAAGAGTTTTGGGATATTTATTTTAGGGATTTGAATCTGATTTTAATTATATTAATGTTGGGTATGAAACTCGACAGATTGTTATAAATGCCACCTTACATTCTGAAATTTGTATATCTGTTGGGATCAAAATCAAAGACAGTATCTACAATTAAATTAAATAAAACTTGTCTGTTTTCCAGTGACGCTAAGACTTCAAGTTGAAATGAGAATTGAGATGCCTCAGAAAATCCTCCCTTGATGTAAGAGATGGTGGGAACACTTTCTGACAGAATTCACATATTCCTGACTGCCTGGGTTCCGAGTCTTCAGATGCAAGTGCCAGTAAGTCAATGTCTTGTGAGGAGTAAGACTTCCACGGAGGCTGAAAGAAGCAGGGGGGGAAAAGGAGTGAATGCTTTGTGCACAATCAGGGTTGTGTTCTAACTGACAATGGTTTAGTTTCCCTAAATATGTAGCATTTTACTAAAGAATAAGCTTTGATTTTCTCTAAAGCAATCCACATATTTTAAAAGATGCCACGGTTGAGAAATACTGGTCTAAAGCCTGAAGCATTGTAAAATATTTATTTCTTTTTAATTTTAGAACTGATTACCATTAACAAGCACATTTGGTCAGAAGATTCAGCATGATAAATATAGACATTACATTTTACTTCTGTAAAATAAGGCACTGGTATTCACATTATGTAAGAATTCTGATCATCAGCATTTCATACTTTTAAAACAACCAAATACATAAATATTAAAGTCTTAAATAAAAAGTTCATTGATTATGGCAGACAAGCCAGAATAATTTTGGTAAGCAAATATTCAGTGTTTCAAGACTTCTTTTTCAAGATAATATGTATTTTGAAAATGTGATTATGCAATAACAAGGGCACAGCAAGGGCACAAAGCCCAGGATATATTTCTAGAAGTACTTTGTGTTATTTTACTACATAAGAACATGTAATTTGAGTCAACATGTTTTCTTTGATATTCAAATACAATATACACAAATATGTATATATCTACTCCTATCCATGTCATTGAATTTTGAAATACAGTAGTTAATTTAAAAGGGATGGAGAACAGAGAAGCAGCTACTGTTTCTTAGGAGTTAATGCTTTGTCTAAACAATATTTAAGATTTGTCACAGGGCCTTTGCAGATTTCTCTTGTACATCTTGTACTGTGGTCAGTCATCAATCCTTCCAAGCTAATTAGGTATAATTACATCAAGTTCTAACAAACACTACTTTTTTGTTGGTGTAAATTGCTTTGGAAACCTGTCTAAGCATTGATGCGTGTTTTAAGTATCACTATGGAAGTGTGCTTTTAATTACTTATTTGCAACTCCACCTTCATTTAAACTGGCAGTTTTAATAACTGTAACAGGAAGCATTTCATGCTTTTTTTGTAATATTTGATCATGTACACATCAGCTCTTCTCTTGAGAATTTTTATTTACTGGCCTGGTTAACACCTGACACTAAGCCATAATGTGATTTGTTTGGTTTTTGGGTAAGTATGATGTGTGAATTCACCCATTATGTCTTAGTATTCTGTACAAAGTAGGTCACTGGAGCTTGTTTAACAAACCATAATGAAAAACAAGCTACGTGAATCCTTCAATTGAGTTTTGTGTTGCAACTTGATTCAATATGCAGTTTTATTTATTTAGGAGTAAGTTTCATTGAATACAGTCAATCTTACTTTTGACTAGACATCTAGAATTTTCTTAAAATCTCCCCTTAACATAACAACTTCACTTAACAGCTAATGAAATCAGCACTGCCCATGAAAGCATTTCTTTGGATTAACATTCCACTGTAGAAGAAACTAAGCTATCTGCGTAGGTTTTATTTTGGACCGTTGCCGATGGTGTAATTTTTATGTTACATTGTTATGAATATTTGCAATAATTTTAATACTGCAATTAATTAGTTGCCTTTTATGTGAGTAATGAAATACATTTTTTCATTTCCATAATTTCAACATGCATTCACGTTTGAAATATTAAAAAATACAATTAAAATTCAGTAACTACTACTACCACTTCACGTTAAAAGGAAAAAACTTTATTTAATGTGTTTATTTCAGTTGAAAATAAGAATCCAAAGAGAATTAACGATAAACAAATGGGATCTTAACTTGCAGCCCATTGGTTTAAAAAACACACACGAATGAGTGTTTTAATGGCTGTATCCTATTTTATGCATGCTCCTTGCTAACCTAGCTTTTAGTTAGAGAAACTGAGTGGCCTCTTGAGTGGCTCATATAGCTAAACACGATGTATTTGTGTAAGTATTGGGATATATATTTCTAAATGGTATACATCTAAGCGTATGCTAAAGTACTTTGTTTAATAGGTGCAGCATGTCCTTTATATTTATTTTCCTCCAAATGAGGGGCAATCCATTCTGAACCTAGAGCCCTAAATGAGCCACGGTACAGGGACCCACAACATTCCTAACTGTTCAATTCAGTCTACATTCTTGTTTTCATTATTACAGTTTTCAATCCAGGTGTTTAAGAAACTGCAATACACTAAGAAAGCAGACTCAAGTTTTTATATTTAGTCTGCAAGGAAGAGCTAAATTTATTACATCAACTGAGAGCCACAGTTCTAACGACTTATGGTTGCCAATTACGCTGCATTTAAGTTTCCCCTCCTCATCTTTACTTGTTAACACATGTACTAAATACATGACAGAAATTCTTGTCTGCTGAAGAAAAAAAAAAGGATGGGGGAATCAAGTGTGTAAATCAGCAATATTAGGATGTCAGCAAGGTTAATCCTGTATACAAGGATCCAAACATTTTAAATGCATTTTCATACTGTCTACGTTCACTCTGCAGGCAAGATAATGAGGTGCCCCCAAGCTATCTTCAGCTGATTCAGAGAGTGAATCTATCTACTTTTATCAGGAGAGGACAGTCTTACAGTCTCATTGAATACATCTCAAATCAGACTCTGAAATCAGGCCAACTTTATTTGTCAGTGGAGGACCCTGCCTTCACTTTAATGCCAGCTTGCCAGAGCCACGTTAACATGCTGAAGGAATTGGGGCCATTAGTATTTTTAGCAAAACTGAACTTTCACATTTTCTCCTGTTGCTAAAAAGGACCGTGCATTTAAGCTTCTTTTCCTGCCTATAATTTAGCGGGGATGTTGATCAGTTAAAAACAAATTAGGGTTTTTATATTTGAAAGGAATGCAAGAATTTAAGGATAAGAAAAGTAACAAAATATTTAAGCAAATATATGTGTCTGTATCTTTAATGAAGTCTAAAGTAGCATTGGCTTCTTATGCCTACGTTTCTGGATAAGATACATAATTTTAATCAAAGGCCTTATGTTCTACATTCCTTCCTGGATACAACTAACAAATATTGGAACTATTTTCTGTCGCCAGTTGTCTTTCCAAATGTAAACACTTAAGATATCAAGACATCCTGGCTATCACTGAATTATAGTACAGTACTGGCTATTCAGAATTTAAAAATGCATGTGCTTATTTTTCAAAAACAAAATTTTTTAGCCTAATATCTTTAACATTGTGACACTTTAACTTCTATTCGCCTGTCTGTTTTAAGCTGCATAATTCTCTATCAACTTAGAATCTCATACCAGCTATTTCACATGCTTTACTATACAATGCAGGGTGCCATCTATTGAGAAATGAATACACAGTCTAACTAGTTAAAAGAACAAGCAGGAGACATATTGGAGAAAAGGGAAAGTAAGAAGTAATAGACCGGATGCTTTGTAACGCCACAGGAATCTTCATAGTAATAGAAAAAATAGTTTAATTTGTTTTGTACCAACTCAGCTCAGGATTTGATGCAATGAAAAGCAAAAACTGGTTAGTCATCAAATAATGCGGGTGGAAAAAAAAACTTAGTGAAGGAAATAAACAGTTTGGTATGTGCATGTGTATGTATGTATGTATGTATGTATGTGTGTGTGTATAAATTATGTATAATAAAACACTTTGACAGTTTTTCACATGAATTTTGTTCTGGAAGACATGATTGTCTTTTAGATGTTTTCTTTTGATATCATTTGAAAACTAGTAAGAGGAAAGTAGACGTGGTTATTACCTGCTTTTATGATTGAAAAAAATAGATATTGCAAGACAGAGTGGACATCCATTCTCTGTCACACACCCAATTATACAAATGGAGTCATCTCAATATTAGAACAAACATTCCAGAACTTGAAGGACTCTTCAAAAATCTAGACTGCATGTATTTACATGACATTAATATGTTTTGTCTAGAACATAAATGATAAATGCTTTTATAAGCTTTTATTCTCCATAAAATAAACATGTATTGTAAAAGTTTCTTCTTATTGTATGAAAAATTTAAATACTTTAAGGATGTTATGTTGTAAAATTGTCTAATAGGTAAAGGTGTACATATCTAATCTTTAACAATTTAAAGATGAGAAGCTACTGTTCATAAAGGTGGAGATTTTATTTAAATTGCATCTAAATCCCTGCATGGTACAATCTGGTATGAATTTACTGATGGCCGCTGCATTTCTTTATGAGCATGTTTAGGTTTGCAGCCTAATAGAAGCCCAATCTGCTACCAGTATAGGAACAGGGCAGCAACAATATGGCACAGCAGTACACTAAGACAGTGTAGAGACAGAAAAGAAGTGGAGCAGCATGGGAAAAACAATCAGGGCTGAGCCAGTGGATGGAGAATCATAAGACTCATTGTGATGTTATCTGAAAGGTTTAAATATCTTGAGTCACTTTAGAAGTACAGTTGTAAATCTTCCATGCATTATAAAGAAATTACTGTATTTTTCCGTGTATAAGACACTATTTTTTCCTGCAAACACCCTATTCAAAAATCAGGTGCGTCTTATACAAGTGCAGCGTCTTATACACGGAAAAATAATGGTAACCTCCGCAGCCCAGGGCATGCCTGTGTGCGTTGCCATGGTGCAAGTGTCAAGCCCCTGTGGGCTTGCCACTAACGGGAGGGGGGAGGGGACAAGATCGTCGGCTGACCGAACTTCTGGATTTGCCGGCTCAGCTGTTCGGCGCTCCGCAGAACAGCTGATCGGCGCAGAGAAACTCACATGCCAGAGTGTCTTACACAAGGGTGCATCTTATAGATAGAAAAATACGTACTTTCCAGCATCTACCTTTAGGGTTTCCAAGGACTGAAACTGGGCTATCTGTAAGCAATATTGTGCTCTACTACTGGGCTATAGAAGGATAAAAATAGGGAGAAAGAGGGAAACCAAGATTATGTCCTGTAATCCAGATGTATTGAGCTTCACAGCCATCTTGGAAGTCCTCTACATCTGGAATACATAAAATAGAGGAAGGCTGTCCTAGGAGTGAAGAACAATAAAACATTAATAAAAATAAATGAGGTTTTCTTATTACTGACTATTTTAAGGTAAATCCATGCATATATCATGACTATATCCATAGAGAGTTGCTGAAACAGGTCAGGAGAAAGACATCTGAATTATCTGAATGCGTGCAACATGAGGCCCTTGAGTAAACTTAAGAACAACCTATAAAGGAATCACTTATTTGCAGTCATTCACACATCATGGGTAAACTTGCCTAAAATTAACTTCCATTTTAATTTAAAAACATGCATCATCATCATCATCATATGTTTTTAATGATTTTACTGTTTTAAAATAGTTTTAGTATTATTAACTGTAATAGACGTTTTGAATTGTAAGCCACCGAGAGTTATAAGACTGAGATGGTGGCTATAGAAATTGAATAAATTAGTTAAATAAATAAATACCAGAGTGGAGAACACGAGCTTCTATTCCATAGCAAAATTTTAAATACCATTACAATACTAATATATATTAGCGTGATATATATATGTATAGGTGTATAAAAATAGAAGCGTAGGCAAATTTTTGGAGATTGTGAGCACACTGTGAGCATGTGATTCTGAAAAGGCTACTATGGGAGACTTGGCTTTTCAGTAAATTGGCCAGGTCCAGGCACAAAACATGCATTATCACAAAGCAAATCAGCTCCTGGCAATGTCTTACTACTTCATTGGGATCTTTGTTCACCCAAAAGAACTTGCATAAATAAAAATTACGGTAAGGGGTGGTATTGGAGACATGCCAATTTCTGGTTTCATTTTTTTTAAAATGTAAAAATAAATCAGGTGGATAGAGTACCTGACATATACCAAGGAAGACGTTTCAGAGCTCATTGGTATCTGCAGACCCTATGTTGCTTAGCCCTGGACCAATGCAGATATTTTTGATTAGGACAGCAAGCAGTAAGTTTTGCCTTGGAAATATATATCAGAAAGAAACTGAAGCCCATACTCAATCTTACAGCTTACAAGTCAATCATAAATAAAAATAAAGGATATATTTTAAAAGATTGATACCAGCTGAGGTGCCCCAACATTTTTCTCATTAGCTTCTGAAGAGGAAAATTCTATTTATTATAGTTTCTAGTTGCAGAGTTATAAAGAAATGTGTTTTTATATAACATGGAGCATTGTTCAAAAGAGTCTGGATGAGCAGATTTGGGCGAGTTGAAGGTTGGGTAAACTTACCTTTGACCTGCTTTACATCACTGAAGTGGTACAGTCATTGCTCATACTCTGCAGTTAAAATTCATCTTATTGAAACTCACCTCCTGGTCCCCAAGATCCATGTTAAATGGCTGATTTGGGAGCACATTTTCAGTCATCAGAGTGTTTAGAATTGGAGTCGTCTCTGGAGAGCTCTCCAAGAATTCAGCATCACCATCTGTAGGTGGGAACTTAACATTAAGCTTAGAAAGGGATTCCACGGAGTTTTCTTCCTCGTCCGGTCCCATTCCTCTTGACGCAATAGATGGGAAGTGAGATACATCTCTGTTTGCCTCCTTTTTAACCCAAGGATTACAAAGGTCATCTGTTTGTTCATCAGTGCACTGGACAGGCTTGGAGAAAGGGATTTCTGATAAAAAAGACGCAGAGGAAAAGATTAAAAGATATCCCAAATACCAGATTAAAAAATATCATACAGTTATACAAATTCATGACCAATTCCAACATCCAGAGTTGCTCTGTGAGAGAAATAGGCAGCCTCCAAATTTAACATCCTTGTCAAATCATTAATTTCTTTCTTCAGAGATAACACGTTAGAATTCTTGCTTGGAACTGAAGTAAAATATTACATAATTGCTTTTATGTCTCAAAGTGTTAAAGTTTTCTTGATTAGTAGTCTAGCAATTAAACAGTCTATCAGGTCTTTTTTCCAAGAGCTCATTGCTTACATATAAATATCTCTATTTTCTATATTAAATTAAATTACCTTTCTATCTATAACTACATCTGTTCTTTCAATTCAGCTTGGCTTCATTCAAACCAGTCTCATTTTTTTTAGTGTTTTAATACAGATTTCAACTGTTTCACTCCATAGAGAAGGGGCATTCCTTCCTCCTTTCCCTCATGATTTTCCTCTTTCATTCAAGAGACCCTTTGGGGGGAGTCCTTGGGGGGAAGAATGGATTGAAAAGGGTCACTAACTATACTTTCTTCTGTGGTTTTAAATCCTAGCTCAGAGAGATACTATTGGATGAGAAATTATAAGACATCCTTTTAGCCCATATCATTGAAGCCATGTTGTAGAATTTGCTAAAACAATCACATATCTGCACTTATTAGAGACTAAGTTAAGCCCATATTTGTCTCTGGTAAAATACAGAGAATTCTGGCAGGTTAAAAGCCATTATTCAAGGAAATGACTGGCTCTGTCCAGACTTAACTTCTTCCAGTACATGTTATACTGTGAAGCACTTACATCAGCTATTCCTAAGCTGCCCAAGCTTTGGAAGTTGGCTATAAATCAGCCAAGCCTAGTAATCAGATGCAGCTATTATTAGAGAACAAAGAATGTCGAAAATTGGGTTCTAAGCACATATACTTTGCAGGAGCATCTGATAGGCCCCTGTTGGCTGTCATAGATTAGACAGATTTTGGTTTGATCTAGCAAAGATGTTTTTTACAACTGAGGTGAGGAAAGGGCTTTCAGTAGGGGGTGTGCAAATGTTTCAAATTTCAACTGTTTTAAATTCAAAACCTGAAACAAGTTTGCATTTAAAAAAGGCTCTTTCAATCACTCGGAAGTGGTCTGAGCTTGAAACTGTGTGTTTTGAACTCGAAATGGAGTTATCAGAGTGCAAAATACTTCCAAAATGATCAAAATTAGTCCATTTCGAATGCAAAACAGCTTTAAACTTGAAATAGAGTATTTATTTGCTCAAACCTGAGATGCTTTGCATGTCAGTAGCTTTTAGACATCCACATCACATTAAACGACTTATCTCTAAAAGAAAATTAAGTCATAGTTTACTGCTTTTTCAGTCTGCTCAAAATGTTATCAGCAGCCCAATCCCTAGAAATACATCCTGTTGTGCCACTCATTTTTATAAAAAAGAAATCAGGTATCTTAGATTGTGGATTAAATCCATCACATTATATTTCTGGATATACAAAAAACATACATTAAAGCAAACCTGGGCAGTATGCATCCTTTCCGTATACCATGCCACAAGCTGCAAATGCATATCTGCTTAAATAACTCAAGAGCAGCCTCACATTAGCCTCACATGAGGTTGCGCTGAGATTATCTCACCACAGTGGATATTAAAACAAACAAACCCTGATACAGTACTGCATCAAGGGGGAATAAGGACCTCACTTTCTAGCCCAACCATCTTAATTTAGAGTTCCCTCAGTCAGTGAACATGTCTGCTGCAAAAATGTAAATATATTCATTAGAATGTGGTTGCAAACCTAATTGACCAAGATTCTGAAATCTAAGTGGCGTTATACCAAATGAGGTCATAGTAGGCTTTTGCTAGCAATATATGGTGGTTAAGAAGGAGTGAGGTAACCCAGACACTGTTGCCTTTCTCCTTCTAAATAGTTTATTTTTAGAGTGACCAAAAAGTCTTTATTTTGCCAGTAAAACCATCAAGACAATCACTGCAAAATGGAATTCGTGCATTCACAGCAAACTGAGCTGTCAAATCACATGCCATAAATGAAGATGCACTGGTATTTTCCCTAAAACCTGAGGGTTATTGCCATATCAAATAAATACACTCTATTATGTGGCATTTTGCATAACAAAAAGGTATGGATAATCTTAAACTGAATCTCTACGCAGTCAATGCAAAGAGTTAGAAGGCAGTAAAGCATAGTTTTCAAAAGAAGTACTGCAATAAATTGATACCAGTTGTAGGTTCTCTCCGTAGGTTAAATTTATTCAGCTGGTCTGCCTGTGCCCTTGCCAGTGCACGTATTCGACTGAATTCTTCTTTCATGCCCCAGAAAACACTTTCCAGTTCATCCCTAAAGATTAATGATTTCAGATGTAAAGTATCATCCCATGCTTTTTCTGTTCCTTTAGCCCAACAAACATATCGTTAAAAACACCGGACCATCTGTGTTTGCAACCCAGACTTGAGGCCAGAAATTATGGGAGGGGATCCATGATCCCATCTTCAAGAAATTTTGATAAAACAGTAACTTCGTAAGGTAGCTGATGGGAAGGACAGATTCTCAAATTGAATGAAACAATACCACACAGAAATGTGATTAAACCTTTCCTCTTCTCCCTGCAAACTGATTCTTACTTATTATAGCCCCCATTAGAGAATACAAAAATATAGGCATACTACAGGGATTTTGTATCTGTCCTTCTGGCCTCCAACAAAATTAATATTGGAGCATGGGGGGGTTATACGGGGGGGGGGAAAGTGTGAGAAGTTAAAACAACTGAAGTAACTTCTGGCATAAAGATATCAGTTTTTCTTTGCTACATATGTTATTTTTTTTTTTTAAAGTAGAAAGATCCAGCATGAACCGATATAATACCTTTATTTTGGTATTCAGGATGAAAGCAAAATAAATTTGAGCATATTCCTATCATTTATCCTTGAATGGTATGTAGAAAAACAACCCTTATTGATACCACCCCATGGATAAAATGTCTCCCCTTTTGCAGTGTTTTAAGCATATTCGGATGATGGGGGTTCTCCTGGAGGAGCTTGAAATCAGAAGAGGTAGACTGAGGACCCAGAGCTATTTGGAGAGAGGAATATGCCCTAAAAGATGCAAAATAGTGAGAGTACAGTGAAAGGTGAAATAATCATTTTTTTTTCTTTTCTCTTCTTGGAGGTCATAATTCTGACTTTGGAGACAGTCTGTTCCAGCCTAATCTTTTTCCAATTCAGATTCGGAATTTTTGAAAAATGATCCAGGTTTCAGGTATCATTGAAAGACAGATTTTTTTTTCCCAGAATTTTTGAAAAATGATCCAGGCTTCAAGTATCATTATATTGATCCACTTGAAATCCAGCAAGTGAAGGTTTTACTGCCTAGGCATACCCATTTGCTGTTCTGCTTGGACCAAGCCTTTCCTTTCTGTTAATTAAGGCACCAGGTGTCCACTGGCAGCTTTTATGTTATTAATTGTTCAGTTTAGAGCACTGGATTCACACATCATCACATAAGCCTGGCTTATTTGAAGTTGCCTCTGTCCCTATATTGCCTAAGCCCTAAATCGTAAATTACAAAGCAAAAGCCAAAACCAAGCAAAATCACATTAGTTGGGATGGGTCAACCTAGCCTAAAAGTGATTCCAGACATCCATCTTAGAAGTGGGAAGGGAGAAGGCAAGAAGTAAGGGGAAAATATCCCCCATCTTTTAAAATCAGCAAGCAAGGACAAATATTGCATTATTATAGAAGGGGAGGGGGGAAAAAAAAGCCCAATTCCATACCTTTCACAGACAGATGCAGAAGAGACCCCTGATGACAATTCCTGTCTAGACGAAGGATGTTTTTCACTCCTTGCCTTTTGAAGGTGATCAGAAGTAGAAAAAAAAAAAGTTGAATTATAACGTTGTTACAAGAATCACCCCTATAAATTAACAGAACCATAAAGTACTAATATAATATCCACTTGTTAATGGCATCTTGCCTTACTTTTTATGCAAAAAAAAATAAAATTCATAAATCATTGTTTAGAAATACGTATGCTGGAGATCTATTATGGATCATATCCTCATTATTTTTAGCTGCTAGAATATGCCCGAAGTATTTTGGATAGCTGAGTTAACCAAGAAGTGCACACTGGTTCCATACTTATACCTAAGAAATAATTAATTTAGCTAAATAAGAGGGACACATTGAATGCTGACTTGCATTTCATTCTTTTTTATTAGGCTTTCCCATAATTCAGTCATTTTCATACAAAAAGAAATCATACAAATATTCTTCCACGTAGAATTCTCTCCACATAATGAAACTGGGCAGGGATTACCAAGTCCATACATATTTATGCATCAGCCTTTGTACATTAACATGCATCATAAAACTCAGGAAGAACACTTTACTCTTTATTAAAGCTGATCCAGGGCTAATATAACATGTTTTCTCAAGTAAGGAGAGAAGTTATTATATTCTACTACCATCTTGTGGATTATCCCTGTATTACATGGGCGTTTTATTTCAAAGCCTATTAGCTAAGATAGAGTCTTCTTCAAGGCCAGTTCGAACTATGGGAACTCATGGACTTATCCTTGAAGCTTTCTTGACAGTTGTAAGAAAATGTTATTCCATATTTTTTTTGAAAAAAAAAATCAGTTTACCCTACACCCCAATTTTTTTCAGAGCATTCCCATCCATGCCCTAACTGGACCCACCTTTCTTATCTTCAGAGCCCCAATAAGGTTGGTCAGGGGTTGCCACGTGCTGTTAATCCATCTTTTACATAGCTTTCAGAGTTTAGAAAAAGTCTGCCTGGGTAAATGAATCCAGTATGGTCTTTAAAGTAAAATATTAGGTATACAAAGGAATGACAGATTGAATATCTGCTTTTCATTCCAAAAGGCAGAGGAAATTAATCTGAGTATTTTTTTTAAATAGATAGACCAGTACTCAGAGTACTTTATTTACAAAAGCGTACACTGCATTTAAGTTTTGGCTTATGAAATTAGTTTCAGTCCTACAGTATCTGAATGTCTTGAGATCTCTACAATATCTCTGAATTTTCTTACCTCTTTTTCATATCTTGATACCTGTATGCAGTTTTGTGCTTCATTTATTTCTTTCAGCTGCTTTTTTAGATTCCTTATTTCATCTTCTTTGGCAGTGATAATAGATTCAAATTTCTTTTCCTTTAAATTACTATCTTCTTCAGTTTTTTTTAATTTTACACTCTCACTTTCCAATTGTTCCTTTAAAAAAAAATCACATACACACAGAGAGAGAAAGAGAGAGCACAGTTGGTTAATTTTCAAGCTCTGAGGAATGTCATTATAGAATAGATTGTTATAGGCTAAATTAAGTCTTAGCAATCTGTGAAAAAGCTGTGAAAAGGCGAATTCCATGTTAGAGATCATTAGGAAAAAGATTGAAAAATAAAACTGACAATATCATCATGCCTTTATACAAATCTATGGTGTGACCACACTTGGAATATGGCACACAGTTTTAGTAGCTGTATTTAAATATATATATAATCTGATGGAGCTGGAAAGAGGCAGAAAAGGAGCAATTAAATAACGGAAATGGTGTAGTTTTTCTATGAAGAAAATAGAAACTGTAAGTTAAGAGAGGCACAGCATTAACAGTATATGATATGCCACCATGTAAGTGGGTAATGTATAGATAAGTTTTTTTTCTTCATTCATTGGAATCATCCAGTGGAACTGAAAGATGGGATTTATATGACATTCATCATTGAACAATGGCTCCCAATATCAGAAAATCCATCAAGAATGTTGGTAGTGATAAGTGATTATTAAGATAGCTAAATATGGCCTCAGGGTCCAAGATAGTGTGGCTCTTCTCAATGGCACCTGCTCAGCAACTGAGTCCTATTGTCCTCAAAACCAGTTGTGGGCTTCTCAAAAGTCATGTGATTAAGGGACCAAATGGGCCTTTGATCTGATCAAGACTCCTTTTGTGCTCCTATATGAAATCAGACTTGAGTAAGTACCATTAGGTTAAGATGAAATAATTATAATTCATTTACTTACAACATGCAGTTAATTTTCTTGTGGACAATTATTCAAAACAATTGTGCTTTATTTTGAGTACATACATAAAAGGAGTCACACCACTTCTATGCATATTAGTGCTTAGAAATGCAAGAAATGTTGTCTTATTCCATTTATATAGTCTGTTCACTAATATTTAATTAGTTTCAGCATGTGCTAGGATGAAGATAAAATATATTTAAAGAAAGTGACAATAGTCTTCAAGGCTCTTAATTTCTGGAACAGTTAAAATGTAGCTATTTAGCACTTAGGATTTTGCAAGACTCAAGATATTAAGCTTCAAAAATAAGATATTAAGGCTTTTAAATAGTCTACTTTTCCCCTGCATCATTAGGATATAATCTATTAATTCTCTGCATATAATGACAGTCTATACAGAAAAGGGGAAACCACCAAGAAAAAAACACGAAGCTATTACCACCAGCAGCAGCAGCTTTAACAACATTGTGTTTTCCTGAAGATCAAAATCTCCAGCTCTGATGGATGCATGGCGTTTGTCAATTTACTATGAAGAACAGTAATTCAATGTAATCATATTACATGTTGCATGTGTGTGTTTTGCCTATAAAAAATGGCAGTCCAGAGTCAAAACTGGGAAACAGAATATCAGAAGTAGGAACATTGTGAAAATGATGAGTAGCTAAAGCCTAGTTGGTTCCATCTGGTCAATCTGTTTAACTAATGACAAGCAAAACGACTGAAATACATTTGCTTTTGTTCACATTTTGAATGGGGAAAGAAGAAAAGTACAGTCCTATTATCTTCTTAGCTCATCCATAGGATTTACTTCCGAATGGACAATGTGTTGCAAAATGCTATTATGAAGATAGGTATTTCCTCAAACTGAAAAGGGGGGGAAACTGCTGCAGTGATGAAAGCTCACCTATGTGCAATACATTTTTCATTCCCCAGTTGAAATTTCAAATATTTTATTTATGTGTATAAATGTATAAATATTTATATATTTATGGTTTTATTTTGATATAGTAAGCTGCTCAGAGTTGCCTTGCAGCGAGATAGGCACCAAACAAATTTAATTAATAAATAAAATAAAAAATTAAGGTGGATACCACCAGTACTTTAACCACTATTAAAAATACTGCTCAGTCATTCTCTGGGTTCTGTATTTCATTCTTTTCTTTTTTGTAAGCCACCCAGAGAACATTTGGTGTTATTTGCTGCCTATGTAAATGTAAATAATAAAATAAATTTGTGGATGTGTTTGATAGAAAGGTTTTAGAAGGATGAAATCTATTTTTCTATTTCTGGATGGGTGGGAAAAGCTATTAGCACCACATTTTGCTCAGAGTGGAGCCAAGGAAGATGGTAATAAATAATAGGAGAGAAACAACAGAAGAAGAAACAAATGAAAGATGTGAAAAGTACTGAGACAGTGACAGGTTTCTAAAAACAGCAAGAAGCAGGCTGACCTTTCTAAGAAATTTGATTTTTTTTAAAAAAGAAAAAAAATGTTTAAAATGTAATAGAAAGCAGTACAATGGGATGAGGACTTTGTAATCCCAAACTTCACACGATAAACTGAAGGAAGTTAGAACGAGCCTAGAGAAGGTGCATATCTATATCTATTTATGAGACTGAGAATATTTGAACCCGCTTTTTAGTGCTAAAAATAAATCCTAAAGCACAAAACAACACATTAGAAATGCTTAAAGCAAAGATGGGAAGTCTGTAACTCCCAATATTATTTTGTCTCTAGTCTTGTTCCTGAGGCTCATTTATGAACTTCTGGAGGGTCGTAAATCTTTGATTTTCAAAGTGAAAAGAATGCTGGAAGAATAAAAAAAATATAAAAGTCACAAAACAAGGTTAACATTTATTCAGTTAACTTGTTCTTTGCCACCTGGAACTTCATCAGTCTAGATCTGCAGTAGTCTTCCTTCTTTTCTTGCTATTTCTTAAGCTTGGAACTGCTTTGTAGAATATCTGTGCTTGTTACCTGCCTATCTCCTTCAAACCTTTGGACATAGCCCAGGAAGTGAAGTGAATCCTTGGAAGTAAAAGTAACCCCAGGTAATTTTTTTCTCACCCCTTGAAGCCTCCAATGACAAACTATTTTCTGTAGTGTTGCTTAGACAGCTATACCTCCCTGGAGTTACCATGAGAAGAGCTTGATTTGAAGGAGATTTAATGTTTTATATGAACAAACAAATCACATTTATTCAAGAGAACACGGGAGAATCAAGCATAAAGGTAACAATGGAGAAAAAAAGTAAAATTAGGAACAATTATTTTCCTATTATTGGCTTGCAGCCTTAAATTTCACATATATGAAGAGCCCAATTCAAATTACATAGCCACACCAACAAAAACATGTGCACGCTCAATAGGAATCCTCACTATTACCATCTGATGAGTGGGACTAAGATCTTGGCCGTTGCTTTCAGAGTTTACGGTTAGGTGTACTGTATAGTAGGGAAAAAGCTTATTTTTTCCGACTTCCACCCTGCTTTTACTCTATGTTTCCCAATAGACCTATTCCTTTTCTGAACTGGAGGCGATCAGAACACTCCAAGGAGTGTCCTCCTGGCACAATTTTTTTAATAAGCATGTTGCTACCTGTTTTACTGAGGAATTCTTTTTTTTTCTCCCTTGTGTTTAGATAAAACAGGGAATATACCTCTTCCCTCCTGACTTTCAAGTATGACAAACCCCCTCTCCTTTTGATATATATTGAAAATAATGGTACATCCTTTTAAAAAACAATAATATTTGGATTTCATATAACATTTGCGTTTCAAAATGCTTGCCATCTTTTATTTTTGCAATTTGTGTGACCCTCTCCTAAAGTAGGTTAGTGTTACCACAGGTAGAGAACTGAAGCAGAGGAAAGGAGGCTTGGTTAAGGTTACTTTGTGAAAACAATATTAGTTGGACATCTGCATGTTGTCACAATGCAAATGTAGCTTAAAAGTAAGAAATATACTGGGGATATTTTTGTAGGGGCCATGAGGATTGCTATATCCCTATTTGCAGTCTGTAAACATAGGTACTATGTTGTTACCAGAGGAAGGTTAATTTTTCTTTTTGTTTCCAATTCCAAATTTCTGAGGCAGAAATTGCAAAGCTTGCTTAAAGAGAAAAGGGAAAAGAGAGAATGAGAGAGATTCTGAAATTAGATTTCTCCAACGTAATTATCAAGTGTCACTAATTTGACAAAATAGGTATTCTTTATTAACAAATTAACACATAAGATTAAAATATGCTTAGTTGACAGAAATACAAGTCCCTAGCTCATTATCTGCAAGCTAAAAAAATAAGCTTTCGTAAAAGAGTTTGATATTAGGAATTGAGAAAAGCTGCCTTAATCCACGTCAGATTCATTTAGCCAAGTACTAATCTTTTTGAGCTCTCCAAGATTCCGGATTGAGTTTTTCCCATTACCTACTAATTCTCTGTGTCAGCTAGGGATGGTAAAAACTGACCAAAATCCCAAGCTAGCACTATATGTAAATCACATACTACTTCACTGAGGCAAGATCCCATCTATTGCTTAACGCAAACAGACTTAGGGAACCTTCTATGCTTCATGATCATGCATAACGTCTAGTAAGACAAAAAGCAAAAGAAGTGTAAATATTACTGGAGGCAACCTAACAGGCCTCCAACTATCTGCTCGACTACAATTCTTAGCATCCTTCACTATTTGACATGCTGGTTAAGGCTGCTGAGAATAATAATTCAGGATACCAGAAAAATCCTTGTCACTAGTTTACTGTGACCAAAGGAGAGAATCAAAGCTTTTCTTTTTAATTGGACCCTAAGTTGTGGTGACTCTTAATTGTGGCTAGTTGAAGAGCGTCAAATGATTCCAAGCAGGCTTGTCTATGTAGCATATCTACATTTTGACAAGCTTATACGAAATAACATGCTGCAGTGGATCAAAAACATAGGTGAAATATCTCTGCTGAGGGACAGCAGCAGTGATGTCTTCAAGTTCATTCTCATTACATGGGTTTCTCCTAACAGTAATATACTCTTATAACTTATCTTTTTCTCTTTCTAACTTTTAGAGCCACTATATATCTTAAAGTGTCCTACCTTCAAAAGCTTTTCCCTTTGCATTGCCAATTTCAGCTTTTCTTGGAGCTGATCAAAATCTGAGTTCAACAAGGTACCATTTCTTCTCATTTCATTGTCTTCATGGACTGGAACTTGACTATGAGTGTTGACTATAAAAGAAAGTATTGTTTCAAATTAAAATATTTAGGTGCATGTGAAAAAACGTAGAATACATTACGGTTTTGTTTCACAGATAAATCCCAATTTGAATTAAAAAATACAATACATAAAATTTCCTATTCCACCATCAAATGGATGCAACAATATACACGTTCTAAATAAAACCCCTTTTCATAGATATCATGCAAAAGAAAATCATAAAAAAATGTATAAATCACATTTTATTGCTATTTAATGATACTGCAAAACAATGCAAAATCTGTTAATTAAATCAGATTGTTTAAAACTGATATGCCACTAAACAATAAGGAACACAATGCAACTTAAACAGTTATTCATTTCTGGCTAAAAGGCAGGGTGAATCAAAGCTTATTTCTTTATGAGCATACTTAATCCAACTTGGAGTTCACAAAGAGTGATAATTTCAGTGATTAAACTTAAGGGTTTTTTCTGAGTAAATAGAGAGCTTGCTAACTTTCCCCCAGAACCTTGCCTTAATCATTTGCTGCTTCACAAATGCTGGAGGTATAAGACAAGAGTTCTTACTTTAAATACTGGCTTATCTAGATTTTAGTTGCTCTTTCGAGTGAACCTTTTGGGAAAGAGCATCCCTTGAAGTCAAGTTTCTAATATCCAGTTTACAACCTACTGGAATGCTTGTATTTAATTTATATCTATATACCATAAAAGACCACATGTAGATTTTTTTAACTGTCATATAATATTTTTAAGTCTATCTCAGTGTGCATATCAAGATATGCAAACGAAATGCATGTGTGCATTCACCTGCTCCCTCCAAATAGGCCATTTGAGTTTTGCATAAAATGAGATAATTAAATAAGATACTCTAGAACAATGACTTGAGCATTGCACTGGAAGGGCCTTTCTCAAATATCTAGTTCAACCCACTGTTCATACAGGAAGCCATTAAACTATTCCTGCTCTATTTGAAAACCTCCAGTGTGGGAATCTACTACTGTCCTAGATTCTTCTGTGGCTTACTATCAGGAAATTCCTTATAATGTTCTTTTTAAAAAAAAATTCAGGCCACTGATCCTTGACTTGCCTTCCCTTTTAACAGAGAATGAGTCTGCACCTTCTTGTAGATAATATTAATATCCTACTATCACATTTCCTCTGAGTCTTCTTTTGCAAGAGAAATCACTTTTCTGTTTCCCTATTAAAATACCCAAAGCTTTTAATTTTCCTCTTTATTTTCTCATTAAAACGTATGATTTCCTTATTTTTTCTATGCTTTATTTTTTAGGCTTTTTCACTTCCCTTTTCACTCCGTGTCCAATTCTGTCTCCCAACCCCTTTGTAGCACCTGCAAGCAGAACTAAACAACAGGATTTTTCAGAACGTGTTCCCAAACATAATACTATAAAGTGACAGCATTTCAAGAAGAAAACCTGTCAATTTATCATCACCAGAAGAGCTGTGGTGGCACAATGCTTACAATGCAGTATTACAGGCTAATTCTGTCCACAGCCAGGAGTTCGATCCTGGCTGACTCAAGGTTGACTCAGCCTTCCATCCTCCCAAAGTCAGTCAAATGAGGATCCAGATTGTTGGGGGCAATATGCTGACATTTGTAAACCACTCAGTGTGTGCTGTAAAGCAGGGCTTTTCAACCGGTGGTACACGTATCACCCGTAGTACTTTGCCACGTGGCAGGTGGTACACGACTGTAGCCAAATGTAGTGGGGGAGGGGAATGAGCCGAAGCGACCCAAGCCTGAGGGAGAGGCAGCTGCAACTGCAGGACTGTCTGGGCTCGGCAGAAGCCCCAGGAGCTGGCAGGGCTCCAGCTGATTGGCGCTTTCGGAAGCAGCGTGGAGCTGGACGTGAACTGAAGAAAAAGGGTTGGGGGAGGAGACACTATAAAAGGAGGTGGTTTGGGCCGGAAAAGGAAAAAAAAGACAACAGGGAAAGAGAAAGAGAGGTCAGCAGGCAGGTAGGAAACAAGGACAGAGAAGAAGCAGCAGCTGTTGCTGGAAGAAAAGGTCCCCTAGTTCGTTTTCTCCAGCCAGGAGAATGCAATCAGCACTGATGAAATGAAAAGCTGGCATGTCGGAAAGGAAGTGGGTTTATTTAGTTCTGGATCAGCTGGCAGCTCGATTGGATTACCATAAGGATTTTTGTACAGTTTTTACAGCATTTTGTAATTCAGAGGCTCGGTTTGTGTGCTTTGGTTATTGGAATATTTTAGTCTGTATTTTAGGCTAGCAATGAGTCCAAATTGTTGACTTCCATAGGTTTAATCCCTTTAAACAAATGTAATTAGTTTTACCCCCTTATCTTGAGTCCCTTTATGGCTTTTAGAAAGTTTTCTTTGAAGGTAAACAGGCTTAATTTAAGGCTAAAGCTTTTTGCAATTGCCGGAGCCTTTCAGTTTTGGGTTGCAACATTGTGACATGTGATACACCTGAGGCAGCTTTAAAAAAAACCCCAGAGTTTATGTGTTTCTTTATTTTGGGAGCCTTTCTTGCTTTGCACTTGATTCCTGTGTCTTTAAGGGTACAGGGAAGGGATTGGGGGTGGTGGTGCATTCTTACTACTCTGTGGAAAGAGCTCAGAAGGGAGAGAGGAAGAAGGGCCGACCAGCTAGCTCAGGGGTCTACAAACTTAGCAACTTTAAGACCTGTGGATTTCAACTCCCAGAATTCCTCAACCAGCCATGATGACTGAGGAATTCTGGGAGTTGAAGTCCATAAGTCTTAAAAGTGCCAAGTTTGAAGACCCCTGAGCTAGCTGGCAGTGGTGTATATTAATAAACATGGATAAATTCATCATATATTTGTCAGTGCAAAGGGAAAGTGATTCAGCAAAGGAACAGCCACTAAAGAAATTAAAACTGGTACTTTTTTTCCTTTTTTTCTATAGTTTGTAATATTTTATTAGATTATAGAATAAAATACAAACATACAAAAGCAAATAGTGGGACACAGTGGGGAGGAAAAAGAGGGGAAAGTGACGGGGAGAAGGGAAAAAGAACAGACTTCCTCTGTTGCAGTAGAAAGAAGCATTAACATTGAACCTCAACTTTTTACTTTTCCATAATATTATAAACTAGCCATTCCTATAACAACAAATGAATCTAATCAGTAAAACCCCAAATCCCCCCCCCCCAAGGACTAGTGATACTCAAATATTGTCTTGTCCTAAAAGTGGTACAATCTGTGAAAAGCACTGTGGAGCGGTATATAAGTCTAAGTGCTATTGCTAGAATACAGGAGTCTAGGACCTTTAGGCTCCCACCATTGGCTGCGTCCACTTCATCCCCAGCCACGAGCCTCAGCCCATTTGCAGCTAGCTTTCCTCCTCTGCTGGCTCTCCCCCAGTAATTCTCCATGGCCAATGGCCCCCTGGCCCTCTGCCTGGCCCTTTCCCCTAGGCACTGTTTGTCCTGGGCATTTTGCTCCACGGGACAAGAAGCTGCCAGCCAATTGGGTGGTGGGCGGCAGTGATGGCACTGGGGGGGGTGACCGAGGGGGCTCAGAGGGGTTGTGTGTGATGGGATTGGTGGCAGGCTGGGGCAGAGAACAAGATCTGTGTTGGCATGGGGCTGTTGATGCTATGGAGGGGCAGCAGGCCAATGGTGATGGCAAACGGATGCTGGTGCTACGGGGGGAATGGCAGGCCAATGGCAGTGGCGCGCAGCTGCTGGTGCTTCAGGAGGGTGGCAGGCAAATTGCTTGCTCGGCGTTCAGGCCAGACCCCAGGCACAGAAGCAACAGCAGCGGCGAGGGGCGTCAAAATGGGAGGGCCATGCCCAGTGCCACCACTGCTTTGCCCACCTGCTTGCTCACTTCCAATCCGGTGCGGCCCAAGGTGCGGAGGCAATGGCAGGAGGAGTATGTGTCAAAATAGGAAGGATTCAAGCTCCACCACCGTCTGTACATAAATACTGGTCATTCACGGAGCCCTCCAATCGATTCAGACACCCGTTGGTCGCACATGGGGTGCATGCTCTTGCCCTCCCCGCAGCACCAGCAGCTGTGCACCACTGCAGATCTTGCTCTCTCTCCCAGCGTGACACTGCTCCCCCCACAGCGCCCTTGGTCCCCTCCCAGAGCCATCACTGCCCCCCCCCCCAATTGGCTGGCAGCTTCTTGTGCTGTGGAGCAAAATGCCTGCAACAAACCGTGCCTAGGTGAAAGGACCAGGTCGAAGGGCTGGGGGCAGAGGGCCAGGGGGCCATTTGCCATGGAGAATCACTGGGGGAGGGCCAGCAGAGGAGGAAAACTAGCTGTGAATGGGCAGGTGGCTAGGGGTGAAGTGGGCACAGTCAATGTTGGGTGCCTAAAGGTCCCATTCCAGAAAGTGGTTCAAGAAGGCCAGCTACTTGAGACAGGAGGTGCTGCTTCCTGTATTGCATAATAAAATGAGCATTTCAGACATGTTGAAATGTCTGAAATACACAAGCCTTATTGTCCATGGTCTCAGTTTGCTACTTGGAGTTGTTGCTCCTCTTCAGTTAAAGGTAGAGCTAGCCCAGACAAGCAACAGTCATTTATTGCCAGTATGTCAACAGCTCTATCCCAGGTAGCACAGCTGCCTTTATAGTAGAGAAAGTGGTCAAAAGACATTGGAGGAGGATATTCAGATGTCAATTCTGTTTCATATTTCACAAACACCATTCAGATTATCTCAAGTGAAAAATATACTAGTTTAAAAAAACATATTAAGCCATAGCCAACCAGAATTGGCTCCATGTCCACATTATACAAAAACACAAGGATAACCTCATACAAAATTTAGTGTCAAAATCAAACAAACCACATAAGGACTTAGTGAATGTGGGACAGATACTTCCTATACATTACTTAAATATGAATCCTATTGCTTTAGCTGTTGACCCTGGCGTCTAAAGTTGAAGTTTTACATTTTTTAAATGCTTTTCATTAGTTACGATATAGCACAGAGAAAGTAAATTCAATGTATGGTAGCACAGTATTAGCAGTTTTAAAGGGCAAGATCCAAAAAGTAGTCAAGTGATCAGGCTGAAAAGTGGAATACTTTCAAGACTGGATGGAAGGTGCCAACTGGAGGAAGTGGAAATAAAGTCCAGAATGGATTGCCAAAAATATCGTTGATCCACTCACATAGTTTTCCTTCACTTTTTCCCCTTTTAGGATTTCACTAGATAACCCATGACACCTTGGGTTATCCTTTCAAATATATTTCCTTACCAGATTCTTCAATGCCTTCAACAATTTACTGACTTTACTGGAAGATTTGGGATATATTCAGAGATGTATCTGCTTTGAAAATAGCCCACACTGAACTGTATAGCACAATTAAACACCAGCATAGGAAATGTTCTATGACATTTTGTATTATGTCATAAACTGTTTAATAATATTGTTTATGTCATGTTTTATAAAAAATTTGCCAAATTTTAATTCCATGGGAGTTATGGGTCTTGGAGTTTGGACATATTTTGTAAGTGATATTTGAAGTATCTTGGTTGGAAAAGGCCGCCATTTTGACCAGTTAAAATCAGTGTCTTAATTTTTACTCATCCCGATTTCTTGTTCAATATTCATACATCAACCTCTTATGCTATAAAATGGTGAGCAGATTTTGTTTCTGTAATTCAATTCTGAATGGAGGCAGATCAGCTTATAAGAGACTGCCTGTTCTTTTTAAAAAGTTTTTAATGTAGATATTACCAGTATTAGGAGGATCCCGTGGAAAAAAAACTAGAGTCCTGTGACATTATATACACAAGACAGACAGACAAACATAGAGACACTTACGGATGGCAAGAGACACAAACAGAAAGATAGTCGGTAAAAGGCAGGATGGAAATTACCTACCTCTGTTGGCAGTCATAGAAGGCAACTGTGATTTGAGTTTTGCAACAATACTCATTAGAAATTCGATTTTTTCCTGCTGGTCATGTATCTGCTTCTCATAGCTGTCTGTCTGTAACGATAATGTAATTGGAAGCAATTATTTTATGTTGATGAATAGGTTTTACCTCAGATAGGCACAAAGAACGCCTATGCCATGGCATTAGCGCTTAAATTTACTGCCTCAAACTCTAGCTTGATTTTATACTCAAGGAGCTAGAAATGCCCATGTATCTTGTTTCCCTTCTGTTCATTTATTGTATTCTCATTTCATGGTTCTTTTGAGGAACCAGGGTGGAATATAAGAGTTTGTTTACCCTCCTCCCCCATTTACTTCACAATAATCTGATAAAGGAAGGTATGGCTGCAAAACAGTGACTTGTCAAAAATACCAGTATCATATGCATGGCTGTACTCAGTTTATCTAGTGTCCTCTACTATACAGCCATTTTAAAAGAAGTTCTGGATTTTTCCCACTTTTGACAAGACAATTATGGACAAGAAAACAATTAGCTTTCTGGCATAGACAGATGAATTATTTGGTGGAACAATAGCAATGCCACAATTTCATTTTTTTTAAATCTTCCACTTCTAAAAACCATAGCCTTGAGCAAGCAACGGAAAGGGTGCAACTATCTCAAAACACAATAAAAGCTCAGCATATAGCAATAACTGCACCATAAGCCCATTAAAAGGCAAAGAGGTCAGTATATTTGAGCAGCCTGGATGACCTCAGGAAGCAGAAGGAAGAGAAAAAGTCATTAAGACCCAAATTGAAAATGTACAACAGCAATGTCTTGTCAACACTTCTGTACAGAGCACACTCATGACAGCTAAAACAGACAGAAGAAAAGATGCTTTTGACAGCCAGCGTGCACAAGTGATTCTTTTAGAGTCAGATGGCAGCAACAAGTTAGTAACTACAAGATATACTTGACAACCAAATATCCATCTGTATTGAGTACCATCTGGCCGTGATGACTCCGGCTTCTATGCATTTGACACAGCTTCGATCTGCAGAGTCTAGCAAAACAAGTGGCCAACCAGAATCCATCATCAGCCATAAACTGACAGATGCTCCAACCAGTCCGTGAGACCATAGAGTAAAAGGGAGGAGGGGTCACCGGAGCAAAAGCCTCTTCTTTAAGTCACCCCAAGTTAAATGGGAGACAGTATTAGGTTGACAAAACTTTAAGCAACTGCCTTGTACTTTGCCCTTGGGAATTTAAGTAGAGAAAATTGTAAAGCGATGAACTAATTAAGGAAAGGGAGAATCCAAATGGCATTTGACACCCACACACAATCCACTTATTTTGTTAATGTATTACACGGTAATCAGGATATCACAGAGGCGCAAAAGCATATAGCATAGGGACAGATTTTGTCCTCTGCATTGGTGGGACCACTGAACTGAGATTTGCTAAATTGTCTATTGTACCATTTAGAGGCCTTTCATTCAGACTAAGAAAAAGAACCACTTGACTGTTCAATAAACAAACTTCTCTAGGCAAAAACTTTCACTGGGAAACCTTTAAAATAAAATAACCAGCAATATATTTAAAAATTATCAGATGACATTAATAAGCTGCAGCTAGACAACTGCTTGAATACTTCTTAGATCTCCTCAAATAGAAGGGAGACCAACCCTTTGGTGTTTCATTTGAAATGAAAAGTGAAACTCCAAAAGGGTGTGAGCAACAGCCCAAAGGCTTCCTGCATGGCTGCAGAACTATGGATGAGGCTCATCTATAGCGAACCCAGTAAAGGTAGTCCTTGTTTAGTGACTACATTTGCGACTGACAACTCGGTCGTTAAGTGAAGTGATCGCTAGTGAAATTATGTCTGTGTTTATGATCTTACTTCAGCTTCCCTAGAACTTATTATCAGATTTTGTTTGATGGTTTTTATATAAAGATGCCGATTGAATAAGGAGGCTTCTGTATGCAAAACCACTCAGCTATAGTATATTCCTCTCATCTCCCTATAATGTCCCTAGACCAGTGGGTCTCAGTAGTGTGCTGCAGCATACAGGTGTTTTTAGTGTGACACAAGATTTTTGTCTTATTTGTGTGTGTGTATATCTATGTCTATGTCTCTCTATATATAGACTATATATGTATATATGTATGTATATAAATAGATGTATAATCTGTATATTTAACACAGTGCAGATATTTTTAAAAAATTATATAAATTTCCTTCAAACCTTGTGTTACATATTTAAAAATAGGCTCACTATATATGATTAATCATTTTCTTGTGTGCCATAGAACTACTGTTCTATTAAATATTGTGCCATAGGATGAAATATTGCACTGAACTATTTTCCCCCCACAAGGAAAGTTAAAGAATCCACGGATGGAAAGTTACTACCTGAACTCTGAAAGCTAAATCGGGAGCCAAATTTCACGTGTCTTCAGGGCTGAGACCAAAAGAAACTGGGGCATGGTCAGACCCTGAAGGGGCGTGGCTACTTTGATTGTTTTGGTCTGATTGGGCTAGAGGACTTCTAACACCCATCCGTGGATTCTACATTCCTCCAATTGCTGGAGAACAGGGTGAGAAATACTGCACTAGACTATGTTTTTAAGTTTAACACTACTTTAACACTAAGACTAAGTTTAACACTACTTCCATAATACGAAGCACCAACAAAAAAAACATTTCACATGCCTGTTTCCTTACTGTTTCCTCTTGCAAATGTGGGAGACTGTTCTTCCCCTACTATCAACTTCCTGACTATCTCTGTCTCCTTGCAAGCCGAGCATTCTTTGACAAAGGCAATCCAAGAGGCAACTGGTAGATACACATCAAAGCTGCCTAAGAGTTAAAAGAGAAATGCAAACTATCCTTGATAGACACAAAATTCAGTTTCATACACAGAAAATAATATCTTTAGCACGGCACAGCCATTTTATTGTGATTGCATGATTTTGGCAGATAATCAACATAGCATTATTGAACTACACTGAATATTTCTGTAATGTAGGAAATCTGAGTTGACCTTTTTTCTCAGAAGCGATCTTAAAGGAAATCTTAACTTGCAGGATTAGTTATTAAAACATACGTACCTTTTGCTTTAGTTCTTTCCTAGCAAAGTCTCTCTCCATACACGCCTGTCGAAACGCTTCATATGCCTTATTAAGCTGCTCTGCAATATTTTTATCCATACTTCCCAGCAATATTTCATCACTGAAGAGATTTTGAATGCAGCAGATCTGGTTAAATTTCTTTTAAAAAAAAGAAAGAAAGATATTGGTTATCACAGATTAGTTTTGCTGCTTCACATTTGTCCAGAGAAAAGAACAACTAATGGAGCAATGGTGATATCCCATTCAACACTATTTGGATTCCCCCCCCCCCAGAACAAGGCTTGCCCTCCCTCCCTTTGATTTGAGGATCTCTTTTTAACATTGATACCTTGATACTCCAGATACAAGTATTCCTTGATTTATGACCACAATTCAGCCCTAAAATTATTTTGCCAAGTGAAACAGTTTTAAGTGAATTTTGCCCCATTTTACAACCTTTCTTGCCACAGTAGTAAAGTGGATAACTGCAGTTGTTAAGTTAGCAACAGGGTTGTTAAGTGAATCTGGCTTCCCCATTGACTTTGCTTGTCAGAAGGTCGCAAAAGGTGATGACATGACCGTAGGACACTGCAACGGTAATAAATATGAATTAGTTGCCAAGTGTCTCAATTTTGATCATGTGACTGTGGGGACACTGCAACAGTTATGTGCAAAAGGGTCATAAGTCACTTTTTTCAGTGTCATTGTAACTTTGAATGTTTACTAAATGAACTGTTGTAAGTCAAGGTCTACCTGTAATGCACGAAATGAAACAAACAGCTACTATGAATTCAGTAACCACAGATAATGCTTTTAAATGAATCTAGATTTTATAAATTATATATGCATGTTCCATGTAGATGCAACTATTTATTCAGGCTAGGGAAGGTTAATTACTATTATGTTCTATAAAGCAAGCTTTCTGGCAACCCACTAAAACAGTCTAAAAGGTACTAACATTTCCCCCTGTCCATTTATACCTGCTCCCCTCCAGAAAGAAGTAAAAGAGCTATAAACAAACATTTTTTAAATATGATTCCACCTGCCCATATGTATTTCCTTATTTGAGTGAGGATGCTCTTTGTGCATGCTTACAGAAGCAATAGCACTCTCCCTGATTTGTTACTAGGAGTTAGCAGGATGTGATGGATGTGTGTATACAGGTGAGACTGGCCACTCAGGTGAACATCAGCTTGCATGCATCATGGGAGTTTCCAGATGGGTGAAGGGTTTCCACTGGTAGTGTGGGATCAGGTGGGTGGAGTTGTGGCTACTTTTGCCATATGGCTTTGGCTTCTCATCTCCCAATGAGAAAAGGGGCTAAAAGAAGCTGCTAGTACATTGCTGAGAGCTCAGACATCCAATGGTGATGGGAGAAAGAAAAAGTAAGTGGAGGTTGGAATGGAAGGGATGTGTGGCAAGTCCTGGTAGAGTAGCTAAATACAGCAAAATAACTGGAGACCCCATGGTGGTCATGGGGTCATGTAATGGAATGGGTGAAAGCCTTAGGCAGGTTGGTGGGTGAGGGAATTAAAGGCTATAATAGAAGAGATTCTTGAGTCCAGTGAAGGGGACAGCATGAGAAAGAAGGTGACTGCACCTTAATTATGCTTTGGCAGGCTTTTAGGGTTTTGTTACATTATCCTATGACCAATAAGATATTTCCAGAAAATGGTTCTTTTTCCCGAGCTTGCCATCCTCACAGGACTGGGAGCATTCATGGGCAGCTTACAGGCATCACAGCCAGAAATAATGCCAGGAATGTTACCATGGTAGGTAGCCATGCATACACTGGGTATCCTGGGTAGGGTTGCCAGGTCTGCTTCCAAAAAATAGCGGACAAGCGGGGGGGGTGAGTAGTAAAAAAAGTAGACTGTACAGCTTTAGATTACATACCATTTCATCATAAAGCTTTTGAATAAAAAAAATGTCCACTATTTTGTGAAAAGAAATAGTGAACATAATGTGAAAAAAGTGGACTGTCCGCTCAAATAGTGGACACCTGGCAACCCTAATCCTGGGAGGGACAGAAACACTGCCACTGGCCAGGAGGAAGGAAGGAAGGATCAGGCTAAACAGATTAGCGCTGTTCCTCTCAGTCTCCCTCTTAATCCAGTCAGTATTTCTGTCTCATCTCACCCCAAGCAGTATTTACAGAAGATCTATGTAAATGGTGTTTGTTTTGTTTTGCATGTTTGGTGTATAAATGAATGCCCTCTAAAAACTCCACAGCCTCCAAGGAATCCATGGCCCACAGTTTGGGAACCACCACGAGGATTTAAGGCTGAAACCATCATCCATTTTCCTGGAAGATAAGCAGGAATTATTTATGGCTTAAGCCAGCAGTCCCCAACTTTTCTGGCACCAGGGACTGGTTTTGTGGAATTCCACCCCCCCTAAGAGGTGTGTGTGTGTGTGTGCGCGCGCGCATGTGTAGATGAAGTTCTGCTTGCTCACCCACCATGGAGTGGTATTGGTCTGCTGCCCAGGATATTGGGAACCCTGGTTTAAGCCATAAAGGTGACTGTACAGTTTGGGCACAGCAGCTTGTGTGAATACAGCCATTTGTGGTTTATTCAAGAAATCATAATTAAACAAACCCTGGCTTATGAACCAGGTTAGAGAGATGCAAAACAAAAATGATAAAGCTTGATAACATTCTAATCCTATAGACACCACTGTACCTTCCTTTTAAAAAACTGAAGTGATAAGAAAAAAAAACATTAGTTCCTGCTAGAAGGCTTACTGGAAGAGGGCAAGAAAAAGAAAAACACAAGAGAATTTATCCCACAGAAAACAGGAAAATTATTTTCTTTAAATCAAAAGGTCCATCTAGCCCAGTAATTTATTTTCTAATGGTGATTAGTAAGAGTTGACATTTGAAAAGTTATAAACAAAGGAAAAACCTAACATCAAATTGTCATAGGTACACCACCCTTAGCCACAGTCTTTAATGTTTAGACCTAGCAATCTATATATAGATTACTGCTTAATTATTAAAAAGTTATATTATTTTTCTCAGTGACTAATGTAATTATACAGTTTAATTAAATTATAAGATTATTAAAAATCAATAAAAAAGAGAATGACCTGGTTAAAGTTCTCTTCAACAATCCAATAAAAACTTAAATTAATAGAAACATCTATTAACAGAGAAAGAAGTAGACCAATCTTGGAAACACACTTCAAGACTTGGGAGAAACCATTCAAAAGATTTTAATTCTCCCACTAAGTGTGACTTTAAAAAGTCATGGAGGAAAAAAATGTTTTTCCAAAAAACCTTAACACCTAAATAAATTAATGAGATGAAAAAGCAGGGTTTTAAGTTAATTTAATCCAAGTCACATATGTCTTAAAAGTTACAATGAGGGTACCTTATAAACAGACTGATAAATATTGAAACTGGGCTACCCAAGAAGCCATCTTCAAAATCCTTTGCTATTACAATGGGCTGTCTTTTGAAATACTGAATTTTGAGACAATTTAACCTGCTAACTAAAAGCAGTGAAATATAATTTCTCATTTAATATTACCCTATAACAATAAAACTATAATGGAATAAAAATAGGTAAAAATTGAAGAGTTATTTTAAACGTAAAATGATCAGTGGACCAAGCATTTAGGAGATTTATCTATTAGCTAAACCTGTTTGCAGTACACTACTATGTGACAACACAAATACAAGATGTAGTGTGAATATGTAAGGAAAATACTCAAGTTGTCACTATAATTTCTTTAAAATATGAGACCATCTAATGCAATACCAGTAATGAAGGTTACTACGGACTGGAACAGTCCTTGTTCCCTATGTGGACCAAAATATTGCACAGTTCTCTTTAACCACAGATTTAATGCTAGTTGAAAAACCAAAACCAATTATCTTTCCTCAGATTTCATACCAAACAAACAAGAACAGCTTCCAGAACATAATTAATTAAATGTGACAAATTTCTAATTTAAACAGAGTCAACTTTGGCACCAGCATTCTTTTGCTTCCCTATTTATCGAGGGAAAACTATTTTTTTAAGGAGCCCTTACTCACTCCTGCTCAGATTCTTTGCATTCATTTTAACTGAAACGTAATGGTTTATAAAGATTTCTAATAGTGCATTCTCAAGCCAGTTAACTCATAAGTGTCACCAAATGCAAGGAATTTACTGCAATTTGTAGGCTCAAGGTGGTTGCATAAGAGATTTAAATTTCCAACTTTTAATGGCTTATTTGGATGGATGCTAGATAGAACTCAAAGAGGTCAAAGAGTAATTCCAGGCGATTCCATCCATTGGGCAACCATCCTGAAGGAGTGGGATCTGAATGAAAGGTCAAAAATTACTCAGTATTTTCCCAGAGGGCTAGTCAAATGCTTCACTGGGTTGGGCTAAAATGAACTCTTCCCCCTTGTAAGACTGAGAAGGCATATTTGATTTGGCCTTATTGCCGACGTCTCCTCTTTCCATGCTCTTTCATGGTCCAGCAATGCTCATGTTAACTAAAAAATGAGCCCCATTGAATCCTGTGAGAAAAAGGTACAGGATTAGAGCCCCAGGGAACTATTAATTCTATATTTATGACAACTGTTGCCATGGTGTTATGTTTCTACAATTGCTGAGCTTTCCAACCCAACAGTAGCCAAATGTGTCAGAGTTTGATAAATGTCACAAATTGGCATCCACACCATAGTGGGGGGGGGACTATAAAGACATTTGCGTTGTTTTGCCAAATGTTGTGTCTTTCTTCAAAATGGGAATGAGAGCATCTTCTTGATAATTAATGCATCAGGTCAATTAGCCAGGCAGGACTAGGACTAGAGAGAGAAACGGATACTTGGCCTTGATTACGGCAATTGCTTCGTAGGGCTTCCATGACAGGTACTTCTTTTTTAATTTTGTTTTTTTTTTTAAATAAACAAGGAAGCATAAAATATACTCTTTGGGAGAAAAAGAGAATTTTTTAAAAAAAGAATGGGCAAATGCAGACTTACAACAGATCATTTAGTGACGTTTGAAGTTACAACAGCATTGAAAAAAGGGATTTATGACCATTTTGCACACTAACAACCGTTGCAGTGTCCCCATGGTCATGTGATCAAAATTCAGATGCTTGGCAACTGACTCATATTTATGATGGTTTCTGTGTCCCGGGGTCATGTGATCCCCTTT